AAATAGTACCTGGCGATAATATAATATTATGTCTGCCAGACCACTTATTGGTTTGGATTTGGGAAAATTTCATACCTACGGAACACGGGTTTTAATCAGTTATTTCAAGTACTCGTGGCTTTATCCAAACAGCAACCTAACTGAGCTAAATATTTTTAGCATATTATACTTGATTAATTTAACACGATTTTTTAGATAAAAATAAAAAACGTGTGGCTTTCCGACTGTGTAAATAATCGACTAACCGTCTATATGTAAATCGGTGTTGATCGCATAGAAAGATATAAACAGCCCTATAAACTGTCTGTGCTTGTACTTTGGACCTTGGTAAACGATTCATGTATAATTTATACATACCAGAAAAACGCCGATAAATCATACAACTGTATATTATTGTCCATTGTTTTACTAATGTTATTTTATACTGTTTTACGCGTTTAAAATTAATCTTCAACTGTTTTTGCATACATTTATAATATATTATTATTTTACATATTTTATTTATATCCACACGGAAAAAATTAACGGACACCAATAAAAACCGATTCTACTATAGTACTTTGGGCATTTCAAAAATAAATTATGTCCTTTTTATGTGGTATCAGACTAACGCCCACGAAATGGAACAACTTTCCGAGTATTGCCATTTGGTGTGTAAAACCAGTTTCGTGACGCGTCCTCGAGATGGCGTTTCGTGTGTGTTTTTTTTTTGACAGGTTAAAAGTTAAGTCATATATTTTTACGGTTATGTGGTAAAACAAAAATATACTTAATCTGTCAGCATGCCGTCGAACGTGTTAATTATTATTAGTCGACACCGGGCAAAAGTGATTATTATGAAGACGTCGGCCGGGTTGACCTGCATTTCAAGATCACTTAACGGTCATTTCGGTAATCGGTTGAATAATAACAGCGGTAGAAATTTACTGGAACCAAAAATTATTATTATCATTACCTATGCTGCTGTTGCTGTATCGGACTTACATAACAATGTTATTTATTGTTTAATATATTACTTAGTGCCCACAGAACTGGAACGAGCTGCGGTCCAAGATTTTGAGTATTTTTTTTTATTCTGTAACCGAGGGTTTAACGATCGACAAGAATCGATTAGAGCAGGCCGAACTGATAGTCTTGGGGGGGGGGGGGTCACAATAAAAATGATATTAGATGCCCAAATAAAAGGTTCCGGCAACGGCCATGTAATGGACCTAAAGATGAAACAGGACGTGTGCTAAAGGCTCTTATCAGGTTGTTGTCGTTCGGTATAAATTTGCAAGGCCAACATATTGAATATCTGCCAGCGCCTCTTTACCGCACAAACCGTTTACATTAGTCATGTTTATGCTTTGTGCGGGGTACACAATTCTCAAGAGTTATATGGTCGCTCGGACAGACCGACGCGTTTGCCAATAAAAGAAAGTTTAAACACACGAGCGGCGAAAGCGCAGTTCGTTTTCTACACTGACTTGCAAATGGCAATGACCAATATTATAATGTTGTATATGCGTGAATCGGTAACAAGTAGATAACGAGTGTTGTTCCCAAGACTCAGGTAGCACGTATACGCTGTAATGCAATTTTAAAACATTAAAAATAACTCATATTCGAGCAGCTCGACGAACAAATGTTTACAAAAAAAAAAAAATATATGATATTCTAGAAAACAAAAACTTAATGGCTCTCGCCACAAAAATTACAAAAAGCGAGATTGCCCTTCTCGACGAAATGCTCAGTCGACGGTGTCAAAACTATCGCGTGTTGAACAGACCTATCAAGTAGATTCGTAAAAGCCCGTCAGGCCTCTCAAGTTTCAGAAAACCTTCTAAAGTAACACAACGTGTAAAATGACATCTAATACAGCAGTATGATCATTAACAAAAATATGTATTGTCGCCTGATGATTTAGAGGCATTCCGGTAACTGTTAGAGTTCCGAGTTGCGTTTAGTTTTTTTTTTAGCTCATACACAGCCATAGAACTCGCTCACTTATTGGTTTTTTTTAATATATTACGGGAAAACGAGGAATCTGTTACCAAAAATGTGTTCTTCAATTTCCAAAATTTCGTCTCATTTGTTGTTTAGCAGAAGCCAGAAGTTGCCCTTCACGGTGCAGCGGACTTCTTGCCAGTTCACAAACACACACACGAGCTGAGACATAGCACAGAGTCGGTCGACGGTTTACATAGTCAGCACACGAACGGCTCGCTCGTTTGTCAACCCGACAATGGGCGCGACGTTTAGGACCGTTGACCTTTTCAACACAGCTTGTATAAGTAAACATAAGATAATATAATACACACACAAATGCGGTAGCACAGCCTATATAATATTCCTTGCCCGTCACCTCGTGTGCTCCGGCCGACCGACAAGACTCGTTCTGTGTGTGTACAATATACAAACAGGCGTTTGACCACCGCACTCTCACGACGTGTTTTCCTTTGCGATTATTCTTAACCTGTCCGTGTTTTTCTATTTTTTTTTCCTGCCTTCCACTTGCCCACAGGACGTACAGATCGCACGCGGCCACAAGGACACACTCACACAATTTACAAACGATAGAACGTCGCGTGACCGCAATGGTAAAGAAGCCGGACACTTCTTCTACTGTCGCCGCCGTCGAGTCCTGAATATCAATAACCTAGTGTGTGTGTAGTATAGACGAACAGTTTGTTTCTCGTATGCAACTCAAGTGAGTGTATAATAATTTGTTATAATACAGGAAAATCCTTTTAACGTAAGGCGCTGATTTTCTCTAAAAAAAAAAAAAAATACAATTTGGTGGTTAAAGAAAATACTACAAAAGGTAAATATTTAGTTATAAAATATATTATTGTAAAATCATTGAAATTGACTGCCTTACGTTAAATAGATCACCCTGTAGGTATGTACTAACACAAATTATATATTACAGAAAAGGCGCGCAAACGGTCGTTTGTTACGGTACGCACGATACACGGAGATCGACTGGTCGAAGATGATATATGATAAATCACAAACACACAATCATTGACAACTGATTGATTCATGTCGCATTAGAAACAACCGTCGGCTGTCGTTTGAAAACCATATAACACTAGCCCAACCGTCATAGGCCCTTCTCCATAAGCTTCCGCACATATCGGTTCCCCTATACTAAACTGTATCATTTGTTTCACTACCATTTGACTTCCTCTACCCAAATTTGATTATGTTCTTTCTAATTTGTCTGATACTTTCCTCATTCTAACTTGATCCATCGCGACATTTTCGTTTCAGCCACTTGCATTTACCTCACACTTTAAACGACAACCGTACAGTCATATTTCCTTGAGATGCAACATTGTATTGCACAAGTCATACCAAAAACTTAAACTTCTTTACTCTCCTTACACAACTTGTTCTCCAATCATAACAGGTTCTCAAATGTTTCTAAAACCTCGCCTCGTTACTTTTTTTATTTTTTTTTTATCGCTGAATTGCCCAGACTTGGAGGGGAACGCTTTCGGTTTGCTTCCCTCGTTACTGGACCGATACTAATTACTATGTTCGGCTGCTGCCTTTTCTTGGAAGCCTGAAGGAGTTTTAAAACGCTCTAAACTTACTAAGTCCCCAATGTGTAGTTTAGTATAGCTAGGGCGAGACAACCGGAATCAATATGTATTATATTATGTTCTCGTGTTACAACACAGTGGTATAATAAGAATAAGCATATAAAAATGTGTATATCTAATATACTGTGGGTTCTATAAGCGCGGTCGGTTATGTTATATCGTTCTAAGAACTATAAAATATAGCCGAGTGCCGAGGAGAGCTGCAGTATGGCAGCTCATAAATATTAAATAATATATTGTCGTCCAATACCGGATATCGACATAAGTCTTAGTCGTTTTTTAACAACTCAAACGCGGCTTATACGAAAAAAACGTGTCTAAATAGTCGTCTGAGAGTTTTAAGGTAATGCGTTTTTTACTTAGTTTTATCGACGTTCAGTCTATAATAAATTGAATAAATTTTTTTTTTTTTTAATAACCTAAAAGTATTATGAAGGGTCGAAATTTATAAGATTTTATGGGCCATTTATCAAAATAGTAAGTCCATAATACATTTTGTTTGAAAAATTGTCTTTATAAGTCCATATACCTACGTCCTAGCAACGCTTATTTAACTGATCAATAATCAATAATATGAGTAGAATTAGCATAGCAGTAACTCTGCAGTCTCTACGCTTGAACTGTAGAGATCATCTGCACTTTCGAAGTCCTTCTTGTTTTACCATAGTTATTAGTGTGTTGCGTCGTTAGTAAATTTAAAATTTGTATTTACCTCTACACATTTCCAATTAGTTAACTTGGAGCTGTACTCCGTATTTTATTTTGTAAAATAATTATTATACCAACTGACAGAGATGAGTTAACTCATCAAAAAAGTTACATTCATTATTATTATATTAATTATACGCACTTAATGCGTTTACTATTATGTACATACATTTAAAAATTAATAATAATTATGTAAAAAATCGATCAGTGTTTGGTACCAATTTACTAACCTCTGCCCACAGAATAATGTAATTAATGCAGTTTTATCTGATATTTCTAAAAAATTTATTGTCGATCATCCAAAAAGCATGTTAGCGAAACAGGAGAGGCGAGAACGACCAGCTGCGCGCAATAAATCTAAACGCATCTACAATATGGTTTACATTATTATTTTTAGGCACCTACACACAAAGGCTGCAAAGGTTGAAATAGGACATATGTGACAGTGCACAGAAACCCAATACTTGTACAATATATATAACAATATATTTTATTAGTTTACCTTGTGTTTATATATATATAAATAAAACTGTATTACAACAATATTTGTGTTCGATCATACTTCCTTTTCCAATCATTTTGTTTGAAATAATATTCAATTATTATATTTTTATTCTCTTGTGAAAACCAATGCCCACGTTTTTTTTTGTGTGTGCTTAACTTTTGTAGACATATATCATGTCGAAACGATAACATAATATAACACTGAGTTCAACGGTATAATGAATTATATATTTACAAAGAATATAATAAATCGTACAATGTAAATTCTTGATATATAATAATAAATATATAAATATATATACCTTATATTGTTTTATTACTATATATATAATAATAAATAGACGATTTAAAAAAATATTTCCAACGTTTGAAATTTCAATACGATAATAATAATACAACCAAATAACAAAAAAAACAAGGTAACATACAGAGTTTTAACAAAAAATAATAATATATAATAATAAATAAAAAGCATGTCGGTAAAATAATATTGTAATAGGTATTGAAAAACAAACTCGACCTATAAAAAAGGAAAAAAAAATCTGAATAATCCGTTGCAAAACCAATATAATAACGATACTACAGCTGTCCTTTGGTCACAGCTAATCGTTGCGTCCATACCGTTTGACCGTTATCACTTCTAGTACCGGTGGCGTGGGTCAGGCATACCATTTCGTTGTGGACGATCCAGTCGTACCGTCCTGCGTTTAAAAGGAGGTCACGGCCGGCCGTCGCTGCGTCAACAAAATCCAGTAATAACAAATAAAAACTAAGGGCCGTGTGTTGGGCTTATCATCATGTGTGCGGCGAAGTACCCAATCGAGAGGCGTACGGCGAGTAGGCGGCCGGAAAATAGGGCGGCAAGAGGCCGGGGTGCGGTGGCATGGCCAGTGGCGATGACGGGTACGCCGCGAAATACGGTGAATGGTGTTTGGCCGCGTTAGCGTACGGATGGTAACGGCTCGTGGACGGGCTCAGCGGCGGTGTGGGGTACGACCGCTGCAGCAAAGGCAACGCGGCCGCGGGATCCGACGTGTGCGTACGTAAGTGCTGCAGTAGCTCGTCCGAGGTGCCGAACCGCTTACCGCAATAAGACGGCACGTCCGCGGTGGCCGCCATCCACGAGCACACGTACGGCAGCTGGTTGGCGGCCGCGGCCAGTGCGGCCAGTTGGGCGTGCGCGTACGCCGCTGCCGCCGCCATGCTGTGCTGTTGCTGCTGGTGGTGATGGTGATGGTGATTCTTTGGGTCGCACTGCACGCATCCGGCCGGACATGGCGGTTTGCTGGCGCCCGCCAACTGAGCTGCCAGTTGACATCCTGCGCAGTACGGATCCCGACACGGCAAGGGGCCGGCGGCCGCGGTCCTGAAATAGGGGCTCATCATGTGTGAACCGGCCAGGGCTGCGGCGCCGGAAAGGTGATGATGGGCGTGAAATCCAGCCGACGACGACACTGGCGTTACCGACGCAGAGGTAACGACGGCGGCGGATTTCGACTCGTGCTTCCGGTCTTCGGTCGGCGATTTCCGGCTAGACGCACTTTCTTTGCTGCTGCAACGGTCGTTCAGCGGCGTCGCTCTCCTGATGGTGGCGTCTAGGCTGATAGGCGTGCTAGCTGCGGCTACTTCGGCCGCTGGTTTGAGCACGCACGATTCGTACGGCTTGAAGCTGGACCTAGCCGTCGACACTGGTGTGACCGTCACGGTGGCTGGCACGCGACCGGACGGCGAACCGCTGTTAGAACCGGACGACGACGACGCGGACGACAACGACGGCGAACGCTTGTCCCGGCCGTCACCAGTCTTCTTGTTGTTGGCCACGTGTTGATGGTGTACTTTGTCGCCGCCGTGGCCGCCGTTTAACTTGGAGTTAGGTGGCACGTCAGCACCGATCTGACTGCACGTCTGAGCCAACAGCGCCAGTGGGCTGTTTTTGGCGTCCAACTGTAACAAACGAATGAAAAACAGATTTAAAATATGCTTTAAGAACGAATATAATTCGCTTTTTGATAGTACGTGAAAACGAGTGATGTGCTTTATTCGTCTAACTGATTATTTGAAATTAAAATAGCTTTCCCTAGTAAATGATCTAAGATTCGAGTATTTATTTTTTAAAAACCCCTAACATGGTTTCTTTTGGGAGGATCCGTGTCCTTCTTTTCTAGTGGATGATGTTTGTTTACAAATAAATTATTATAATACGATATTTTCAATAATTACAATGGCAAAGTTGTACAGTTATTACAAATGTGAATATCACATAAACGAACATTTAACATTCAATGTTTTTAACCCACATAGAACCTAACTTAATAACGTTCACATTTTTTCTTATTCCTCAATACATCCCCAGATGAAGAAATCCGAGGGACCAGCCTCTTAATATTTTTCTCCAAAACAAAATTCTGATGTGAACTTATCCTACCTTATCTTTCCTAACCTAATGGACCATTTACATACATACATACATACATTTCAATAAAATATTATATTCTTTTATTTGTTGATGTTTGACTAAGATGTTATAATTAAATAAAATGACACGCCTGCTCACAAAATCATCGGACCAGTTCTGTTAAAAGTATTACGATTTTGAAATATCGGTATATATCTACTTTGCCAAATACCTTTTTTTTTCAATTTCGTTTATACTATAATCGATGGTACTTTTTACACTGATTACGAAACATTTGTCATTTACAGTTCTACTATATAGGTTAGATTTTAAACATTTGAATACAGACAGACGAGCAGCATATTATTTTCTTCTAAATGAATTTTCGCTAAACACTCGGATGTATTGGTTCAATTAGTTTATATAATTTTATGCTATGCACCTGCTCACTGCTGGTAGCACTAATAAGCAACGGTATGCGTTTTAGAACTTCTGATGTGTAATGTGTTTGTGTTAACGTCCGTGAATGCCGAATGGCCGATACAAAGAACAGATTTCCGCTGGAAAGCAAAGATGAAACTTTACTCTTTTTGACTCGATAATTTATCGCGTAGTTAAGACAAACAAATGTGCACATGTGCGAAGGGAAAACGCGAGTGAAATAACATCGAATCTTATTTGTAGTACAATCATCAAGTACTAAGGTTAGTACTACTACTATGGTTTGCACTATCGTGGTTCGAATGTAAAAAACCACGTGCACACAAAAGCGGTGTAATGTATCTGACAAGCATTACGGAATGTTAGTGTATTGTTACACCTATATAGAATTAATTCGATGTGTAGCTAAATCTGCAACTGCAAATGATTTTATTTTATTTCAATCGTAAGCAGCGGTCGAGCCAACAAAAAAAAAATTAAACTCCTCACGATTAATTGCGGTTTTGTTCACAACTTCTATCGCGTGATAAATACATAATATTTAGTTTAGGGAGTAGAGTAAAGCAAATGTCAAATGACTACTCAGCTTTAGGTGGTAGACTACGTTCCGGGTGGAAATATTGATTATTATTGCAAGGAAGCGAGGAATATTAAAAACCAAATAAACCAAAATACGTGACGTTTTAAACGAGTTCTATTTTGTCGACGTGGTCCACATCAACGTCGCGGTCAGCTCACTTAATCTGCACGCTCCATCTATTTTCTTTTTGTCGCCTTGAACGTTACGATAATTATTATTATTGTTTTTTTTTTAACTCGCGCGTTACTTCCCGACAAATAGCCGGCACGTGTACGAAATAATGCCAGGGGTACGATGAGGAACGGCGCAAACGAATAAGACCGTGTGGACTGTGGCGTTGATTATTTTGCAGATTTTTGTGAGAACCGATAACGTGAAACATCAAGCTGTGTACATCCTATGATGTAGTACCGACCTGGTTAGGATTCGGTTACCGTAATAATACGTAGTCCAGGAATATATATTTTTAAATCAACGATTATACTAACAATAATTAGTCCACACACGCTTACAAGGTTTATTCCGGTGTTTTGTAACTGGGCTTCTCTCCTAAAATCAACGTTTGGCGTAACGTGCTGCGAACCGTCAAATCCCGATTGATTCGATACGATTTTATTTCTACTGTACAATATTACATAATATTGCTATCATCGCGTTGTCGTTGTCGCCGCCGCTTCGACATTCGGAGAGGTTTTATCATTCGTTTTATTTAACAGCAACAACTGCGATTTTTGAACCATAAACACTCGTTTACACGGTCGGTGCAAATCCTGTGTTTGGCGTCACCGCTATGGCGTCGATAGGCGTTTGCCCGTCAAAACGTCTGCCGTTTGCTTTGGACCCCAACCGCTGCTAATAGAGAGCACCTCCTCTCCCAGTCAAAAAGGGTGTGTGTGTGTGTGTGTCAGATCTCATACTGTACGCCCGTCGACTTGTCAAAGACCCGGCAAGACGTATATGGAGACGCACACGTGGAAAGAGAAACAAGAAAGCGCGGGGCGGATTTTGAGGAAAACACCATTAACAACGTAACGTCAGGGGGTAGCTGGGAATGATGGGGCGAGGGGAAAGAAAAATATGTTTTTTTCTTCTCAACGTCATTACCGGCTAATACACACACACACACACACACACACAAATCTGACGAGACAGGCGGCACACGCTCACACGACACACGGTAATCGATTTGCCGGCAAAGAAACGCAAGCAGAAAAGCGGATATGACGCTGAATAACGCGGCGCGACGTGATGGGAGTCGCAATATTAAATTATATTTTACTTCTCTTTCGTCTTTTGCCGCGTGTATGTGTCAGTTAAGACGAGTCAATATTGAGCGAAAACATGTTCAACACACCCGCAGTACGCCGCGACTATTGATGCCGTTAAATCGCTTTTTATTTTTATTTTGCAACCGATCAACGACATTTGACTAAAACGACAAATACCGAATCCGGAGCGATTTAACAGCTTTACCGAAAGCCAAACAACCAATGCTAAGAGTTTGCATTACTATATGGTTCATATTACACGAAAATACATAATTATTGTAAATTCAATTTCTTGCCAAGTTGACATATCGGTATCGCGTAGTTTTATATTATACATTAATAATTGCCGCGGATCGTCCGAAATAAATTAAATGAACACTTATTATAATGAGCTGCTATGAAAATTTATTAATTCCATGTACGGTTTGACTCGGCAAAATTGGTAAGGTGCTATCGATGACTGCATTATTTTTTTTCTTCAAAATCCTACTCACCAACAGTTAGAAAAATAACTTTAAATTTTAGCTTAACGGCTGTGTAATGCGTTGTAGAAATATTGACGATTTACGAATACGCTATAGGTTAAGGGTTTGATTAATGTGCTTCCTAACCATAAAAAAATATTATTCAATAATGTTGAGTTACTTGCAAGTTTCACGAGTATTTAGAAAAAAACTAATTACAAAAGATATCAACTGCCTTAGGATGAATTAGCTAATTTAACCTCGGCTAATACGGCTTAGCTAAGCCGTATTAGCCGAGACTAAATTACGAAAAAGTCAACCGTTTTTTTTTTTACATTGATGATGTATAGACTTTCTTTAAACTTAGTATTTTCAGACATTTTTTTTTTAATAATATTTTACATTTCTCAAAGAAGCGTTTTTTCCATTTCTTAACCTTTCCCATTATTCAAAAAAAAAAATTATCAGCATAAAACTGGTGTAGAAAATAAAATTATTCATTACCAGTCAATTGATCCGCTAAAAGTTAATCCTATACTATTTTTACATCACTTTAATTTGCACAGTGTGCATTTTTTAAAAAATTGTAACATTCTAATGCCTACATTTAACTAGGATTTTAAGTTTCTTATGTTGGGCGAAATTTTTAAATGTAGATAATATTATTTTTTATTGTACTCTTATCCGTTTTCATATTTTTTACACTTGTGTGTAACCCAAACGAGCGGTATGTATGAGTGTAATAACTAAATACCTAATAGAAAAATAATTCTAACGTTAGTTATACTCACCGACGGCAGAGGCGACAAATAATCCGGTCTCAGGTATTGGTTTTCGTTGGTCATGATCATCATCTAGTCATAGGTATATAGGCAAACACTGAAATCCGCACAAGACGTAAAACACAACAAATCACAAATACAAACAGTAGAAGTATTAGAAAAATATAGGTATATGTTTATGTTTTATAATCCAAAAAGTCAATTATAACGCACGTATAAAAACGTATTTTAACCCGATAATAATAATAATATATTTGATATTAGTATATTCACTACGTATTATAAAACACAAGTGACCGACAGATCGGACTCGACAAGCAAATAAGACGGCCTCCGGTGTTGCACTGCCAGCGAGACACCGATGAAAGGTTGAGCTACCCGAAGCCGTCCTATGGTTCCGACGTCGCTGGCGCCGTGCAGTGGCTCCATCTACAACAAGTCTCTCAATGTTAATCGAATAAAAATTAACACATTACCTTTACACGATATTGTATTACACATTTACACTTACATACATGCCACGCACTGCCACGGCGGGTTTGGTAAAAAATATTACCGATGTATAAAATTAATTGTTGATTTTTTTTTTTTTGAATAACTCATTTTTAACAAAATTTATTAATTTTATTGAACAAATATGATTGAAATATCTGTGCTATTAATAGTTGATTTTCTGTCAAAATATATGACGTACGAATATTGTGACAGTTAATATAAAATATAAAACAAATTTTCCATGAAATACTGTTAAAAATCGTTTAAAATACGTTATTCCTGTACAGAAAAAATAATGTTTTCACAATATTTTTTAAATCGTTTTTTTGTTAGAGATTCATACATTTAAAAGTAATTAATTAATTATCCAAAACTGGTTATCGACAACTCTAAATGTTCGGCGAATTATTCTACTTTCAAAAAGTTAATTAAATATATCCTGCCCCCATTTAAGTTTTAATAGTTCATAATGATTTGGGAAATACTAAAAAATGTAAATATTCGTTAATTTTATATTACTGTATAATAACATTAATAAAAATGTTTCCAAAATAATTATATTATAATTATTTTCTAGAGTTTTTTACGTTCGATTGATCACACTGTACCTATTATTAGTTTCCCAAATACACCGTACTCATTTCGAATACCTTATTGGTTTTACATGAAATAATAAATTTATTGTTTTCAGATTTGCGTTAAGACTAAAAAAAAAAACCAAAAACACTTCATTATTATCAGGGCCATCCTTACGAGTTACGTTGGGATATGCGGTCTTAACCGCGACTTCGGTTTTGTTAATACTGTAACGTGCTATAATTAAGTTTAACCGTTATAATGTTACATAATGTACAAGACATAAATCATTGTTAAGGTTCGCATTAGCCGAATACAAAGGAAGGGGAAACTATAATGCGGCGTAGGCTGTAGATTTCTTCTTTTTTTTTTTTGGACTACGTGCTGGGCGGTACTTAAATACATAACAATAATTCATCTCTCGGTGCGGGTGTGTTTTAACGCACTACATCCATAATAGGCAATTACACGTCATTATAATATAAAACATGGGTATTATATTTTGATACCACCCGGCAAGCTCGTTGCGTGTATATTACATCACACGAGTCTTCTTCATACGGACAGATTGTTGGCTTTAAGTTGACCAAAATCAATTCTGATCAACGGTAAACTCTTACTCTTCTTGTTTGCAATTTACACTGGGGTGTGAATATTTAGTTATGCACTTGTAACAAAAAACAATTTTACACGGGTTGTGTGTGTAAATTGGCTAATGGAAAACAACAATTGCTCGAATCACCAGACTTGGTAAGAGGAAATGGAACAGCGTAGACAATAATAATTGTACATAATTATTAGCATGCGCGTTCGAGGAACTATCTCGGTTGTCGTTTTTTAACATTCTTGATCGGCTGCGGCCCCGTAAATGGATCGTAAGGCCAGTTTACGTTGTATATAGCACCAATTTTATTTCACCCGACCCAATATACTCCTAGGGCAATCGCAAGACAAGACCCAAAGACCAAAGTCAAACAGCGTTCACGTATTTTCTGTTCTACCCACAAACGTATAATTTGTTTTTATAGATTTGTCCCCTCCCACTTGGCGTTTCTCTGAAAGTAGCAAACGAGAAAATATCCGGTACCATAAAGAAAACCAACCAAAATTACAATTATTTATATGAAATTAATTCTCACGATTATTATCGCGGCCAAGTCGTCTATTATGTAAATCGCACACGACTACTTTCTGTCCGCGTGCGTTCCAATCAAGATGCATAAATTTCGTCGGTACGGCGTATCTCTTCCTCCGACACGTTGTATAATATACAATATTATTATCAGCTGTTTTATATAGTACATATTAATATTGTATTATATTTTATTTCTCCACTAAAATGTTAACAAGCCGCCCGGTGTTGTAAAAATGCCGATGCTTATCGCTGACGGTCGCCACACATACGGGTAAGATAATATATTATTGTATAATAATAATATAAATGCATAGAAAAGTCGTAAAAAACAATATCATTTTGTTTGATTTAATAACTCGAGTCGACGTCGAACCACTGCGTAGAGACCTCCGGTACGCTGCAATTCTCTTCACTCCACTATGGTTGTACCTACCATAAGACAGTTTGTGTGTTTTATGGCCACTATAGGAGTTTTAAAGGAACCGAGATTATCATAAATGTATTGTAAATAATAATTCATAGAAGCCCCAATACGAACAAAGTTGGGATCGGCTAACCGGTAAAAAAAACAAGAGGCGACTATTACACTATAGGTTACATCGAAATAGATAATATAGGTATTTTTGTACATCTTAATCTATGTAAAGTGTAAAACCATAGTATATTAATCTTTCCTAACATAACCTAAGTTATCTTGATTTTTTTTAATTGCCATCTAATTTAACCAAATTATAAAATATTTACATTTTTAAATTTATGTGCCAATTAAAAACTGCTTGTGCGAATTAATATGACTATACCCAAACCTAAAATTTAAAATTGAGAAGAAGTAAAGTAAACGAGAAACAAAAGCCAACTGCTCAACAACTGAAAATTAAATGGTTCTTCTGCGTAGTCAACACTGTACTAAGTCCTCATTAAGTCTATATTCCGTCACACTATATGGCCTGTATACTATTTCATTAGCTCTTTGCATAACGATATAATGGTATATGTCTGTTTTATAAGTGGCTCGTTGGGAGGTACACTATATTATTCTACACGAACTTCCAAGGTGCCCGGTGTGTATAAATAATGGCTTGCCTCGGTGGAATTGAAAACAGCGAAAAACGAATTAATGACCCGGTTTCTTATTTAAAGAATTATGTAGAAAACCAGTTTTTTCATTAAACCCATCGTTTATAATTGTGTACATAATTTTCAGCGTTCCTTCGTTAACGTTTAATTTAGATGTTTGTGTTGTATGCCGTGTCGACAGCATATTATATAGCGACAGCAGCAGTCTATACTTGTGTACACCCTCCGCTGAACCGGATCAACATGATAATTTAAACACCGAAGTCTGTATTGTTTTCGACAATAATATATTTTAACCGTATAAATATGTGTGTACAAACTATATAAAGTGTTATTATATAATCTTGCGTTTATTTCTCGTACATCGAATGAGGTCTTCGGTTGATTAAAACATAACTTAGTGTATTGAAATTTCATCCCGTCGGCGATCCAAGCGGTTAAGTTAGGTTACACCGGCAAAATCATAAAGTTTAACCATCATCACGTTGAGTGTTTGTATACATTTGGTGCGCATGTAGCGGATTTCAAACAGCCTCCGGCGCTCATGCGACGTGCGTTAACGTTTAGTCATTTATTATATGTATTGCTTTCTATAGTCATAATAATGATAATTTATAGTTTGATCAGTTCGGCCTTTTATTTACACTGTAATTTGAATGTTAAAAGTTTTACGTTCAGCTATCGATAAAAAATAGACATGATAACAATAGAATAAGAATTTAAAAAATATTATATTAACGTCATAGTACCTACACTTAGTGATATCAGAGAGTCGCATAATAAAATAAAACCCCGAATAGATCAGATTGTCCGGTTAATCAAAACGGTGTATTAGTTTAGTCGGATCAATATATTCAAACTGTAGGATTTATTTTAGGTCTATTGCACATGTCTAGATACAAATAATGTTTACACAAAGTTATCTGCCTTGTGCGCAGAGTACTTTGCGGCCGAATTAAAATGTAATACTAATTATTGTAATTTATTGTGAAAGCGTGACATTTAGCAAGTTCGACCAGAGAGGAGACGCCGTTTGTAAGGTTATCATGATATGATCTGGAACGGCTGTAGACCACCGGCAAACAGTGTGTCCAAAAACGGAAACCCGCGGCGACTTAAATCTACGAACGCGATCAGATGTGTTAATATAAGAACCGTGCAAATGGAGGGCATACTCTGTTCTTTTAGGACAGATATCAATACAAATAATTATCCAACTATCAACTACACATAAAGATTAAAGAACTTTTAAAGTGTTTCCTGGACAACAATTAATAGTGGCCAAACGTTATTTCTTAGAACGCTTGAAGGCGTTTACAGATCTGCGCACAGTCTCTCCAAATGGCAGTTGGTGATTTTTCTTTTTCGCCGAACTATATTGTAGGCACTTCGGGCTAAAACGGTGAACATTGCTTCCGTTCGCTCGTGATTGATGCGTCTTAAACATAAAATCAAACGGACGGTAATAGTTAGTGATAACCTATCATGTTTATTATAAGTCATGAGTCATAACACTTATGGTTGGCAAAGAGATGGATATCGCGCTAGAGATTAATCGCCAAAATATCGACTTGTTGTAGAAAACACACGCAAAGGACAGCATGTGCCATGTACAGTGTACACTATATTGTACGGTGTTGGCTGGCACGCAGCGCCTTATCTCGGTGAAGCTGTCGTCTCGACGGTATTTATTGTTTGCCCGCACCTAGGAAGAAAGAATAAAATATAAAGTAGTAGTAATGAAAAAAAAAAAAGAGTTAAATCCAACAACAGTGCGCACGGTAATGTATTCGTCACGAGGGTCGCCGCCGGGCTTCTAACGAGTCCATAAACACTGTCTGTACACCGCTGGCTTACAAAACACAGATAGGTATCGCTTTTATATTATACGATCCCATGCCGTGTGCACTATCGTTGAAATAATTAACGCCGCCGCGGTCGCCCCGACAAGGTGTTTCGCCGGTGACTTTAGACACACACTCACACACAAGTCTCTGATTTATAGTCTAATTACTATTGCTCGAGCTGCTCTATCTAACAGACACGATCTCATCCC